GCCTACCTCGCCCGCTCCTGGGAGACTGCTGTGCGTCAGGCGCTCATGCCGGTCACACATCGCTCAGGTAACACCACATACATACTTCATATCTTATCTTATTAATATTATAAATGGATGGATGGATAAATGTTTGTTTGAAGGTATCTCCAGAACGACTGATCGGATCTCGATGAAATTTGGCATACATATAGAACATAGTATAGAAGAATACATAGGCTACAAGTTATTTTTTTAATACAGGGCGGACAGAGTCGCGGGTGATAGCTAGTATGTATATAAAATTTAAAATTGCCGTTGTTCCGATCGACTGGTGCTATATACCCCGACCACACAAAACACACGCCTCAAGTGGAAGTAATTTCACGTTTCCTCTGTAGAGTATGCCGGAAGCCCAATTTAAGCCTCCTTTCTCTTCCATTTTATTATCAGGTAGGTACGGGAAGGGAAAATGGACTTGACGGAAGAGGGGATGCTGATAAAGGGGAAATATCCACTTTCTGTGCTTTTCATTCTTCGTCAATTAAAAGTACACAACGCATGTGCAATTCGGCGAATGGCCAAATGGAAATTCAGGTGGTCGCTTGCTCGTTATTCACCATAAGAAAAAAAAATAGGGTATAACATAATTATAATTGCCATGTTATGATGGTAGCGGAGGAGAGTGCGGGCGGTGCGGAGGCGGAGGAGGGCGTGGAGGGCGAGGGGGAGGGCGCGGGCGTGTCGGGGGGCGGTGCGGGGCGGGCGGGGCGCGCGGCGGAGATGGCGCAGCTCTACCAGATCTACCCGGACGAGGTGCTCGGCTCCGGACAGTTCGGCATCGTGTACGGCGGACTGCATCGCCGCACTCAGAGACCTGTCGCCATTAAGGTAATACTGATATTTATGTTCTTCTCTATTTTTCATCATTCAAAATAATAGAAAAACGTCAAATTCCGTACATGGTAACGTAAGAGCGAGACAAACATTTCCTATACGTTTGTCTCTCTCTCAAAAAAACTGCGCTATTTTATTCTTTCATTTATGTAGGACCATTCCAAAATGGAGGTCTGGATTGTCCCTGCCTACCCTTCTGGTTTACGGGCGTGAATCATGTTTTTGTTATTTTCTGACAATTGTAACATAAAAGAAAGTGATATTAGACAATAATAGATAAAAAAAATATTTTGAATCTTTGGATTTTAGCGAAATGAATGTAGTTTGTCTATGGTCATTCTAGCATATAGAACTACACTCGAAAGTAGAAGTAGTACAAAACTCAACACACTATATCTTGAATTTAATAATTAAAACTAATATAAATAAATAAAAAAAAAAAAACAAATAAAAGCGATAATTTTTTTTTATGAAATCCACAGGTGATAGACAAACTCCGTTTCCCAACAAAACAAGAAGCACAATTGAAGAACGAAGTCGCCATCCTGCAGAACTTGTCACATCCAGGCGTTGTCAACTTGGAGAGAATGTTCGAGACTCCAGAGAGGATATTTGTGGTGATGGAGAAGCTGAAGGGAGATATGCTGGAGATGATACTCTCACACGAAAAGGGGAGACTTACGGAGAGGATCACTAAATTCTTAGTGGCACAGGTAAATGGCAGTTATAATTACTTAAGCAAGTATGTTAAGGGATCTTACTAATATTATAAATGCGAATGTTTGGATGGATGGATCCAGAACGACTCAATGGATATACATACGCTAGAATAACACATAAGTTAGTTTTTTTTATTTCCAAGTGGACGGAGTCGCGGGCAACAGCTAGTATAGAATAAATTCGCTAAATACTTTCTTTTATGAAAAAATAAATTGTTATTAATTTTTGTAGTTGAAATTAAATTATTTACTGAAAAAGCTTTATGTTTGATTTGTTTTAGATAAAATAAAAATAATTAACATTTTAACAAAAACTAATTTTAATTTTATAAAACATAAAATTTTTGACACTAATGTCATTTTGACATTTGTCTTACCTATTAAACGTCAAACTTGTATCAAATGAGTATTTTATTAATCTATTTTTTTTTATTTACAACAATATATGTCTCTTGTATTCTTCCAGATCTTAGTAGCACTAAAGCACCTGCACGAGAAGAACATCGTGCACTGCGACTTGAAGCCGGAGAACGTGCTCCTGTCCTCGGACGATGAGTTCCCGCAGGTCAAGTTGTGTGACTTCGGCTTCGCCAGGATCATTGGGGAGAAGTCCTTCAGGCGATCTGTTGTTGGCACACCTGCATATCTTGGTGAGTCATTTTGTATATTTAGACCCCTTTGCCTCTGAGACATAACGCGACTGCAGTAGCTGTCAGTGGAAAAGAGGTTTAAGTTAAGTTAGAACATATTTCTTGTTTTTATTTCAAAACTAAGAATAAATAATAAAGTATAGAAAGTTAACCTAAAAGTTAAAATAATTTAACTACGAGTTATAAATATAATATTGTATATTAGCCCCGGAGGTGCTTCGCAACAAGGGCTACAACAGATCTCTAGACATGTGGTCTGTGGGTGTCATCGTATACGTGTCGTTATCTGGCACATTCCCCTTCAACGAGGACGAGGACATCAACGAGCAGATACAGAACGCAGCCTTCATGTATCCACCCACACCCTGGAGAGAAATCTCCGCTGAAGGTATGCACTACGAACACACATACATACAGACATATGACCAGTCACTCTATGGTCCGGCTCTCTTTGCCATTCCCATATTTCCAAAACCACGTATATTCAAGCTATACAGTACGTTTTGTAATAAACAAGAATTTAAAAACTTGTTTTGTTTTAAAAGACGATGATGACAATGGACTAGGTCGCAAAGTCTGTTAAAATTGTACATATAATACTACTATCAAATTCATAGACTCAAAATAAAGAGGATCATTTATTTTTGTTTAGCGATCGACTTGATTAACAACTTGCTGCAAGTGAAGCAACGCAAGCGGCTGTCAGTGGACAAGTGCGCGGCGCACGCCTGGCTGCAGACGCGCGAGGCCTGGCTCGATCTGCGCGCGCTCGAGCG